TCATTTTTACTCATTCAATGTGTATTATAGGCCTCGTTAGGACTGCTAAACTCTTTCATTTTTACTCATTCAATGTGTATTATAGGCCTCGTTAGGACTGCTAAACTCTTTCATTTTTACTCATTCAATGTGTATTATAGGCCTCCTTGGGACTGCTAAACTTGTATTTTTACTCATTCAATGAGTATTATAGGCCTCGTTGGGACTGCTAAACACTTTCATTTAGAACCCCAGCTTTCTCTGTACTTGATACATTTGAACTAGTTTTTTGATATATGGTTTAATGAACTTCTTATGGTTTTAAACAGCTTTACGAAACATTAACTTTAAATGTAGTTTTTCAAATATGTTTACTATGCGTTCTATAATTTTATATCTATTTTAGTTCTTTGTAAACAGGTAATTAAAAACTAAAATTTGAGAATGCAGTTCCTTGTTTCCTATTATAATCGTTCTTACGTCGAAGTTAAAGAAATGAAATCCGTATCAGTACATTAAAAAACGAGCCTGAAATTTGTTTTTCGAGGGAAACACAATAATATATTTTTAAAAACTTGAGAAATTCACAGAAAAATATCCTAAATTTCGTGTTTTTTTGTCATAATAGCAACAAGATAGTAGTATAATTTATATAGAACTGTTTGTGCTGTGTTCTAGCACGCCACAGTAAACCTAGAATAAGACACGGCCAAATATAGCTTGTTTAAAATATATTAAAATAGTCAGTGATCAACTTTGTATAATATACAATTAAAATTTTCATTTTGATCGGTGTTTGAATATGATTTTAAATGTATATTATACAACGTTTATCGTTGACTATTTTAATATATTTTAAATATTTATACAAGTGTCCTTGAATGTTATTTATTAACTAATGTTTGTTTGTTATTAAGCAAAACGTTAAACATGCTAATAAGATATTGTAGAAAAAGCTGTGAAATCTATTGTTTTCTTCAGTATGTAGAGTAAGTTACATAATGTATCCAGTGAATCTGTGTGAAAACAGGAACACTGATCTCTAACAGGTATCCAAGAAACGCAGTTTCATATTGTAAACACAGACAGTAAAGGAAAACACAGGTTCATATTATAAACACAGACAATAAAAGAAAATGCAGGTTCATATTATAAACATAAACAGTAAAGGAAAACGCAGGTTCATATTATAAACATAGACAGTAAAGGAAAACGCAGGTTCATATAATAAACATAGACAGTAAAGGAAAACGCAGGTTCATATTATAAACACAGACAGTAAAGGAAAACGCAGGTTCATATTATAAACACAGACAGTAAAGGAAAACGCAGGTTCATATTATAAACATAGACAGTAAAGGAAAACGCAGGTTCATATTATAAACATAAACAGCAAAGGAAAACACAGGTTCATATTATAAACATAGACAGTAAAGGAAAACGCAGGTTCATATTATAAACACAGACAGTAAAAGAAAACAAGTCACACAAATAAATATAATTTTTATTATGTCTGTATTCAACTGAGCGGATTTTCTTTTCTTTATGAGTCGAACTCTCTGCTTGAAAGCCATAGGGGAACATGTCCAAACTAGATCTGTATAATAGGATTAGTACATGTTAGTGACATCAGGTCAACACGGATGTGGTCAACTACGTTGAGAAACTACATGGATATTTAGAAAAATACCTGAGTATACTTTACTTAAAAACACATTTGATACTAGTGATGAAAGTGTAAAACATGATATTATTAAATCATCGCTTATCTTCAGGGTGTTACAAGAACCGAACTTTAAAATTAACTTTTTTATAACGAAATCAAAGTCTAGTCTGTATGTTGTAAGGTGTGGTAATCTTCTCCCAAAGGTGAGTCACTCAAGACACCACGACACTTAACCACAGATGACAAAAGAAAACAAAGAAACAACAGCAGCGATTTGGGACATTGGCGGATAGTCTTCTCAGCTTTGCCATAAACATAAAATAAAAGAAAAATATAAGACGCAAAAAAACAAGTTCAAAATAAAATGAAATTATGACAGAGAAAAACTCATGATTCATAACCAAAAATACGAGTGAAACTAAGACTTACAAACAATGTGGAGTTAAAGTAGGAAATTTGGAATGTACAAATCAAATATTAACTGAAAATAAATAAAACGCAGATTATCTCTAACTGTTTAATATAGAAAATTATGAAGGATAGAACACAATTAATACAAAATCGAGCACGTCTCATAACACACATAGTTAACTGAACGCGATATTAAACATATTACGATATACTGGAGTGTATGTGACACTCCTTGAAAATACTGAGGTACTACTCTCTCCTTTTTCCCGGAAGCACAGAGCCAAGCCTTGATTTTAAGTTGCCCAGTTAGATTGTGGAAGCTGTAAAAGATGGTGTTGTCAGCTTCAACGCTGAAGGCCTTACGTGAGTCATCCTCCAAGTGCACAAAGAATCCTTCCCTTCTTGAAGAGTCCCTGGTATGGTCCCTCGGGGCTTTCAATTTGTCCAGTATGTTGAGTGGGCAGTAGAAGTGTGATAGATCACAAGCTCAGCCAGCAATGTAAGGTTAAAAATCAAGACCAATTAGGTCAAGACTTGGCCATTTATGACGAAAGTACTGGCCAATATGACGTCAGAAAACACTCTTCTTTTTCTTCCAAGTACAAATGGAAGTGCAATCCGCATAGCTCTATCTGGCACAGCATATGTGTAGTTACTTTTGCCAGAACCCTGATTGAGTTGACCCCTAGCAAGTGATTTGTCAGCAATCAGCAGATAGAGCCATAACCATAAGTCTTCCATCATTGTTCTCACAAAGAGAGAACCCGGCTCTATTAAGAGAAGTGTAAGGAACTACAACACACTAACTGATAATTGATATTGGGTCAACCACTTTACAAGTAGTGACCAAAGCTTTTAACCTTGAACGTTTTGTCACGAGTCTGTTCACAAACTCAAG